TTAATCTTCTTCACTGTCTGAATGAACTAAATGATCGTTCTCTAATAGAGGAGATCCAACAGTATCTAAGTTCAGGAAGCCTCTCCACATATGAACTTTCTCCAGCTCAGTGGTCAGCATTGGTCTTCATTTTACTGTCATCAGAAGAAGATCTGCATGTTTTTGACCTGAAGAAGTACTCTGCTTCAGAGGAGGCTCTTCTGAGGCTTTTGCTAGTGGTCAAAGCCTCAAAAACAGCTCTGTAAGTACATAGATAACAAGAATTAGAAAATGTCTTAAAACACTATGATTGTTCACTAAACTAAACTAAACCAGTGATTTGTATCTTTTTTATACCCCAAAATGTTACAAATGTTTTGTTAACTGATTTCAAGGCTGAGCAGCTGCAATTTGTCAGAAAGAACCTGTGAAGCTCTGTCTTCGGTACTAAGCTCACAGATCTCCAGTCTGACAGAGCTGGACCTGAGTAACAATGACCTGAAGGATTTGGGAGTGATGCTGCTATCGTCTGGATTGGAAAGTCCACACTGTGCACTGAACATTCTCAGGTAAAGTTTGAATGTCTGTCGAAGTTTAATTTTGCTTCGGCAAAGACTGTTTCTTCACATCATGATTTCTGTCCAAACTATTATATACCGAATGTATGATAAAAGCAGTTGACTCTCTGCATTGTTTGGATGGAGAGAACAGCGCTGAGGCTGCTTCTGCTGCTTCTGCTGCTTCTGTTGCTCCTGTTGCTTCTGTTGCTTCTATTGCTGTCTGGCGTAGCCCAGGCGGCCGCCCTCAGCCTGCCCGTGGCAGCGAGTGATTGTGGACAGTTGGGAAGGAGGTACCAACTTCAAACATTCCCGCCTCCCTCCATTGTGATGACCATCTCGCACAGAAAGCAGATGTTGCTGCACACAAGAGCACACAAGACAGGGGGTGGCTGTAGCTCAGGAGGTAGAGCAGGTCAGCTGCTCATCGAAAGGTTGGTGGTTTGATCCCTGGCTCCCCTAGTTTGCATGCCAAGTATCCTTGGGCAAGATACTAACCCCAACTTGCTCTCAGATGCATCTATCGGAGTATGAATGCGCAGTCAGAGAGAAGGAAAGGCAGGAGTGTGAAGGTGAGAGTAGGGATTTTGAAGTAGCGGCTACGACAGGTAAATGGAGAGCTGGCTGATAATATAAAGAGAGGGCAGGTAGTACATATGTGTATGTGTTACACCCCTGAAAAGAATCATGAGAGGGATTGTGAGTTGCTTCTCTCAGGCTCAAAACCGCCACGTCTATGTGCACAAGACTGTAATATAATGCTTCTAAAGCTTACAAAACAATGAAGAATTACCTCTTAAATATCTTAACAGAGTACATTGGAAATACATCAACTTTTAAACACTTTTACCTGAAAACAGGGGGAAAGAATCACGAGAGGGATTATGACTTGCTTCGTTTATTGCAATGAGGAGAAGCCCCCTAGTGGAGAATGGAGACACTACCAGTCGATCCCAGAAAAGGCTTACTAGCCGATCAGTGATGTATAGACTGCAGTTCTCTTAAAATGACTGAAAACCCATAATATAACATGAAAAATAATAACCTCTGAACCATTTTCTTACCATATTTACATTATTTTTGTCCTTATATTAACTAATATGAATTTGTATTAACTGAACAGTTTTATATGCAGTTGTCCTTCAACCTGTCATAGATGGAGGAGAGCAGGTTGAAGTGAAGGCCACAAGCTGTTCTACCATGGTGCAGATTAGAAGAAAAATGGAGTTGGGGTAATCTCAAAAGAAATGTTTCTTCATGACAGGGGTGCATGCTGAGCATAAAAACTGTGTTATAGTGAGTTGCATGTGAAGCTGGACACTAAAGACAGAGAAAAAGACTTGTAGGAGCTGAATGAAGAAAATAGTTGAGTATCTGAGGCTGAGACCACAGGACTGTAAAACATGTTGGGCTTCATTCCTGTACTGGACAGTCATTTCAAGATTAGTTAGTAAATAACAATTAGCTAATGTTGTTCATGAGACTAAAATCATCTCACTGTGGTAATGTAAATATAATATGGCCACCTTAAATCTTCACTCAAAGACAAGTATCTTTGACAGTGTATATACAGATGTATTATACATAAGAGATAAATCTTGTTTGTTTAATATGTTGGCATTACGTGCGGTCTCTGAATTGGGACACAGCCTATGTCTTGCTTCACTAATGAGCAAACACTTCCTATCACAATTCTTCTAATAACTAATTGGCTCAACATAGAAAACTGTGTGTACCTGCGCCCCCTATAGGCCGGGAGAAATAACATAAAAACAGTTCCAGTACACACACAGTTATTCCGTTTCTAAAAACTGAGTGGTTATGAGAGGATGATCAACATATGAAGACATTACAACGTTTTCTAATTCTTGTTTTGTACTCACCATGCACAAGTATAGTTGTGAAAATGGAAATATATGTGTTTCATGAGGTGGATGAGTGACTTTCTTAGAGTTCCTCCTACACCGGGCGGCGCATCGGGCAGCTAATGATCTCCATCGATGTCGGTCAGCAGCGACTGCTTCAGCTTTGTTCCAGGCAATGTCGACAGTTCTCAGATCATCCATAAATGTTCGTCACCATGTGATCTTTGGTCGAACTTGGTTTTGCTTGCCAGTGCGTGGGAGCCATGTAATGGCAATCTTGGCTGGGCGATAAGGGGGTAGATGTAAAATATGGCCCGCAAAGCGGAAGCGCCTTTCTGCAACAACATCGGCTAAAGGGCGGGTGCCTGCTCTTCGTAAGACCTCCTCATTTGTTATTCGGTCCCGGTAGGAAATTTTCAGGATTCGCTGCAGGCCACGTTGTTGAAGCACGTTCAAGTGTTAAGTAATTGCAGTTGTTGAGCGCCAGGTTTCACTAGCGTATAGGAAAGACGATAGAGTTCAATAGTCTGATCTTGACCCTAACATTCAGGGAGGTCGAGTTCCAAATAGGTTGGAGACGTCGCAGGACAGCGACCGCCTTCCCTACTCTGGCGTCGACATCTCGGTCAGAGATCCCGTCATTCGAGATGATGCTGCCAAGATATGTATAATTCTCCACCTCTTCAGCACGTTGTTGGTTGATCATGACAGGAATGCGGGCACGTGCATAGCCAACTCGGAGTACCTTGCTCTAATTCTTAATCCAACTTTCGTCGGCTCCCTCTGCAGGGCCGTGGTCAACTTTTGGAGGTCTTCCTGAATTTTGCAAAGCAGGGCATTACGTGTTTCGTGCCAGGGGACACCGATGCCAGCTTGGTCAACTGATCGTCGCATGATGAAGTCAATTACCAACAGGAAGAGGAAAGGGGATAGCACGCATCCTTGTCTGACGCCAGTATTGATCTTAAAGAAATCTGTGCAGCCGTCATCCATCCGGACGCATCAACGGGAGTTGGAGTAAAGACAATGAAAGGCATCTACAAACTGCTGAGGGACTCCATAGTGGTGTAGGATAGTCCATAGCGATCGTAGCTCAAGAGTTGGGAGTTCGCCTTGTAATCGGAAGGTTGCCGGTTCGAGCCCCGGCTTGGACAGTCTCGGTCGTTGT